AAAAAAAAAAAAAAAAAAAACGTTTTATATCTACCGGTACACTTCTTGTGAACAACTTTTCTTCAAATGATTTTAATGTTATAATTTAATCTCCCATAATCAGTTCTTCTACTAGACTACAGTTCAAATTCTGTCACCTTTTGCCAAGCTAGAAATATATATATGGAAATGTTTTATTCCATCCTGAAGTGTAAACAATATGCTAAAAATAAAGCTGTCTTTCTAACGAGTCCATTGTACCTAAATAATCGTTGTTACTGTCAGTGTCTTGACTATCTTCGGTCAAGGGACTAAGCATCTCTTCACAGCCTTCTTTGTTCTTGTTAAGAGCACAATCTACATACTCCTTGATGCTCTCCTCCAGAAAGCTCAAAGGCGCAGAACCTTGGTACAACAACTGCAGATGGAAATCTTTCAAATTGAACGCCTTTCCGAGTTTTTCCTTGGCGTACTCTCTCAATTTTATGATATGCATTTGGCCGATCATGTAAGAGGTGGCCTGCCCTGGTACGCTTTGATACCTGGTGACTTCCTTTAACGCGATGTCACTGTCATCCCATAAATACTTTTGGAACATGTGAAGGGCATCGTCTCTTCGGAGCCCCTTGTAATGTAAGCCAGTGTCCACGATCATGCGCAGTGCGCGCCAGAGCTGTGGTGACAAAGAAGAAAGCCCCATACAGGTTAACTTTTATTAAATCATCATCGCGTTCAACTGTCGTAAATAATATTGTGATCCCTACCAGTTGGGATCAAGAACCCATTTCCGAGTTGACTAAGCCTGTCTTTCAAGGCCAGGCCTGGTGTACAACTATTCAAATGAAAACGAGTTTAATTTACATGTGAATGAAATCTTATTTTCATATGAAAGGATGGGTACACTAAGACTCACTTTGAGAAAGAGGCTCAAGGTAATTCGGAAATGGCCTATATTAGGGCCTGTTTACAAGGAGAGAGGGTTACCCCAGCAAGCGGGTTACCCTAGCACTCACACATTTCCTCTTGTTTACTTCGTAGTGTTTACAAGGCAGCTAGGGCTACCCGGGTAGGCGGTTTACCCTATCTGCGTGCTAGGGTTATCCTGGTAGCCGGGTTAACTTTTTCCCTTGTAAACACTCCAGGTAGGGTTAACCCGCCTACCCGGCTTAACTTTCTAATTGTTTCCAGACCCTTTGAGGTTGTAGGGTTACCCTACCTATGAAATTTTGCTTGTAAACCCGGGCTATCTTTTTTCCTCCAGCTAGGGTTAACCCGCTTGTTAGGGTAACCCCCCTCCTTGTAAACAGGCCCTTACACTCCCTACTTTAGAAAGTTGTCAGACCGACAATTTCTCTGACGATCGCGAACTTTCAATTCCTGCTCATTTGCCACTCAGCAATTTTAATTACAAAGGTACTAATGTTTTAGGTTTAATCAAGAAATTGAACCTGACCCAATATCGTGGATCATATTCTTGGTGCGATATGTCCCATAAGCCCTCGCGCGGATTCTCCCGATCCAGGCCATCACGTTTTTCCAAGTGAGCTAGCAAATTCTTAATTTTGGAATGCGTTCGGAGAATATCATCTGAAATAGTTCCTTAGCTAAATCGAAAAACCAAACTAACCAAAAAACAAAAGAAAAGAAAAGAGGAAAAAAAGGAGAAAAAAAAAGTTACTATACATTACATTTTTTGCGGTTTGTTCTAGTTCGCCAAATGTCGACATAACGAGAAAAACGAGGCGAGTAGGATAAGTGTGTTTATTATACATTTTAGTCACCATCTGTCTTCCCATTGGCTTTAAGCCTACAGTTAATTCTGGGAAACAGCGCAACCTACAGATTATTGACTAATCTGCTAGCGGATTAGTGAATAATCCGTAGGTTGTGTGCGCAACGCATGATTTCCAAGAACAATGTCAAGTTCACGTTAGAAAATGGCTTGTCGAAAATAAACTGTGTATAATATATAAAACAATTGTGAGATTCGGTTTTTGTAACATCCGAAATAATCAAGGTCTCGCTTAGTGTTGTCAGCCTCAACCTTCGGCTTCGACTGATAACACTTACCTCGACCTTGATTATTCCGGATATCACAAAAACCTCATCCAGTAATTGTTTATTATTATAAATTTGATTTGCAAATTTGTGTCAAAACCTTCTATTTGGTGCAATAGACAGCCATTTTTTTTTTTTACCAAACTGGTTTTTTTTTCTCACCTGAGACTTCAACATCCCGTATTTGTACAGCGGTTGCTCTTCGTAGGTATCCGTGTCATAAGCAATGAGTGGGTTCTCAGCGTATAGTGCCCAGCCCTCCGTAAACGCCGTGTATGACGTCATTGATGATACCCAGGCTATTTCTCCACCGCAGGTGTCCTGGAAGTGTTCCTGATAACCCTGTGACTATTACAAAAGGGAAACAAAAACGAACGAAAAATAATAAGTTAATTTGTCAAATTCGTTGATTGATATCGTGACTGAAAAGAAATCCTTGTTTTCCTAGTATCCAGATCTCACTCCGTTTGGCGCTTGGTCGTGGGAGATCTGGGTTTCAGATTACCCCAATTCCAGATCCAATGTAAATAAAAATTGGAAGTGTTAACCTTTGTGGAACTTCTTTGCATCGTGTCACCCAAATACAGTAATACCACCTCTTACGCTTAACTCCTTGCTGAGACTTCTGGCTTTTGGTCAAAATGAGATCTCACTAAAAGTTTTCTTTTATTTGCATCGAGAGCCCATAGGCAGCCTCTTTCTTAGACGCCCTTCTGGGATCGTCACGCATTCTTTTCGTGACAAGCGCAAAGATTGTGAGAGACTAGGTCTAGTTTATGACGAGCATCTCAGTGCACTAACCTGAGTATGGTGCCCAGGCCTCGCTTCATGAGCATTAATGCTCCACTGCATATATCTCGGTCCAGGCCTCTCGAGAAAGAAAGGTATAAAATACTTGGCGTTTTTACTGCACGCTTCATCGCTCCTTCGATAACTCGGCACGCCAGCCGAGGGGTTGAAATCCGGCACCATTTCCACCGGGCAGTTCGGGGTTGTGTGGTTCTTCCCGGTGAAATAAAACATTTGCGATGTTTTAGGATCTAACATGCTCATAACCTGTGGAGAAAAGAGGCGGATTCAACTCAACCTTATTCTCGTGGTCATGGAAACGAGGGTGGGATTTAACTGTGAACATTGGGTCAACCAGCATGTAGTGTGTACAAAGCACTGCGACAATCACAATTTTTTTTTTTAATATGAGCAATACAATTACTTTGCACGTGCGTTATAGATCTTGACTACATTAGTTTCTTTGCCTTTCACTGCAAAACAATCAGACTTACATTGCCCAGGGTGTTGAGCCGAAAAAAAATACGACAGGAGCTAATGTGTCGTTTTAGAATTGGACCTCTGAGGGTTGAAAAACATTTTAAGCCACATCAATAAAGCAAAATCTTGGTAACACCCCGGATAAGTTGTCAAAATTCCCGTTTTTGAATTGGAGATCGTGAATTTCAGTGGGCAAATCTCACCCTTCTTCAGGCCAAATTGGATGAATTCTGTCTCTTATTCTCGACCACAACAATTCAACAACCACCCCTTCCTTGCCATTCTGGCGTTACACATACCCACAACTGATGTAATTAGAATCAAAGATAGGCCACTATGGGATAAGATAACTACTGATAGTATTCATTCCTTTCATGAACTGCTTCCACCCCAGAGATCAAGGAGCCTTAGGAAAAGGGGACACACTTACATCCTGCCACGTGTCAGAACTAAACGTCATAAACGCTGTTTTGTGAACAGATGCCTTTTCAATTTTATTTGATTGTTATTCATACATTTGTAAATAGTTTGTATGTAATTAGTTTTTTTATAGCAGTTAGTTATATGAAATTGTAAATCCAGACGTATGACTCTGGGCATGTTTCCTTTGACATTTACTATTTTAGTATTAATAAAGCCGGAATTATTATCTTACAAGGCTTATTCAATGCACTACCCCGCCTCCCGCAGTTACCTCTCTTGTCTCGGTAAACCAACGCTGAATGGCCTGCCAGCGTTGTGGGCAGTGCTCTTTAGCTTTTTCAGCAGAACTGCAAAGCTTGAACGCATCCTTGTCGGACTCATGAGGAGGAATCGAACCATTGTGGTTCTTTTGCAAACCGTGTCTCGCCTTACATGTTTTCCCGCACTTTGCACGGGTTTCATTACTAATTTGGCTCAGCTCTTGCACATTTTCTCGCGCCTAACACGTGCTTCATTTGCAATCATGTTGCGAGCTACCCACATTTCCAGCGCTTTGCAGGAGCTACTTTTTCCAATGGTGTCCTGTTACATTTTTTCCCGCGCCTATGGCACATGCTGTATGTTACGCTTTGCGTTTTGATGGGTTTGTGGTTTCCGTGACTCGCGAGATGGTATTTTTATCTTAGCTTGATTTAGAGGAACTCACTATCATAGCTACCATTACTATGAAAATAAACCTTACCTCGGGGAACAATTTATAAAGCATCGTATAACCAAGCTCGTGCACTTCATCCGGGGTATTGTTTGTGGTGGTAAAATACGAAAGAATGTCGATATAAGCCTTCGCTCCGTTCAGCGGTTCCCCTGTCGGAAGCATTTTGGTGGTTTTCTGAGTGACATTTGCACTTCCGTTGACGTACACGAAGGAGACGGGCAGGAAGGATAAACCGCTGGACACGTTGCTCGGCACACAGTGCTGTATGTGGTCATCCTCTAGATACCTGTGAAGAACAACCAAGTTTGCGCGATAAGCGATCATCAATAAGTCACTTTTATATAGAGCGGTTTTTTCAATTAAGTGTCGTGAAACCAAAACCAAAGTTATCACTTTGGCCAATCACAAAGGGCACAGACAATCCAATGAACCAATCAAAACTCGAAGTAAACACGTGAAGTTGACGCAAAGCGCGGGAAATCGTGTGTGAGCGGGCCACGATTGGTTTTGGTTGGACTGCTGATTGGATGAAAAAGTGGCGCGAGTTTTTTATGCCAGCCGTGCTGCTTAGCGATACAGAACCAATTAATTTTGAAAACGGCTTTATTATCATGTATTTCTTGGCTCGTTTGCTGTGTAAAAACGTGATTCGAGTTTATTATTTATTATAACACGCGGACGTATAGTGCCATCATTAGTTTGGTAGAGCATTAGTGTCATTCAGAAACAAAAACCATTTGAAAGTACAGTGTTGGTTTGGAAGCACATTCCATTTTGTGTAAGCCTTCATGAAACGAGAACTGGTCTAAAAATAACTTGAATTATATGGCGGATAGCGCTAATATAGCGGAAGAACCCAGCTTACGCTTCATACTCTCAAACTAACCTTAAAAATGCGTAAATTGGTCGTCCAACATTTTCTAGGACGCTTTCGTGGAGTGACTGAAAAACCGTCTTCCCTTCATGATTTCTTTCCCATTCATCCAACTGGTCTGTCTTGTTTTCCAAGTTGGACAAAAACTCTGGTTTTAAGATGGCTTTCATGTATGATTCGTTGAATACTCCTGTGATATAAATTGTATGAGGATATGATTGATCATCGCAGTTATATACACAACTGAAGCAGTCGTGAAATTAAAGCCTGAAAGAAATTCAGGATTGAAAGGGATTCGAATCCATGACCTCTGCGATACCGGTGCAGTGCTCTACCAACTGAACTATCAAGCCAACTGGGAGCTGGTCACTTTGTGAGTTCGTAATATACCCGTAGATGGTGAAGAATTCAAGTGGATATATGAAATATCATATTTTGAGCGGCGGATATATACCTCTCACTAACCGAGTTCGAGGGCCGTACTGTAAGTTACGGACTGAGTTTTTCCCCATTGATTTATGGTCCAAGTGCGAAGCGAGCGGGTCATAAATCGAAGGGGGAAAACAAGGATCCGTAACTTACAGTACGGACAGGGAAAACGAGGCTAGTAAGATATTTATTATATCTCTACTGTGTGTCTGACGGCTTCGGGAACGATTTCTATTCACGCTGGACGGTTTCAAATTTGTGACGTACCTCGAAAGCAAGACGAGTCAATTTGAAATCGTTTTTAAGTGACTCTTAACTCGTTAGTAAGTTTTAATATACAATTTCAGAAGTAAAAGAAAGGTTTAATTTTTTACTTGCTAAAAAAGTTAACAACACTCGACGATAAATCACGAAACATTTTGGAAACAAAACCAGCTTTACATTTTAGCGGGTCGTATAGTAGATTACCGCCCGCTAAATTGACCAATCACAGCGCGCGTACTAACTGAGAGATCTAATATGACATGACCTGAATACAAATTGTGATATAAAAAAGTTATATGGAGTTTCTTTAGGTTGCAGATTTATGCGCGTGGAAATTTTGAAAGTGTTTCTTTTTTGTGAAACTCTTGACAGGTGTTTATCTCGTTTAGGGAAATTTTGGAAAAGTTCGTTTTTCTGAAGGTCTACTGGCAGAGTCGAGAGCGAGTTGAAAAAAAAAGTAAATTTGAGAAGTGCACTCATCAGAGGTCCCGGCAAAGCACCTAGTTTTAACTTTTCAACAACCAATTTGCTATTGTATAATAAATATGTTTTTTAACGAACGTTTGGAGAATAGACAATTACCTCTATGAGGGGTAATTACTACTCGTTTTCATGCTGAATAATGACCGTTGTTGTGTTTTTTTATGCAAATATCTTCGATTTCAGAGGGATATTTTAACAGCTTAACATCGGAGCGACTTGTTTTTTTAAAAAAGTATACTAAAATCTATTAGTTGCGCGCAAGAAAACAATTAGTTTGACGGCAGTCTTGAAGTCTCTAGGTTAACCCGCCATTAAGTTAAGAACTAATCGAAAAACTTCCTTACAGGGATGCGGTAAGGGAACTTTATATACTTGTTCGCAAGTCTTTTATTGGTCAACATTTTACATCATAAGAGAAACGCGCAACATTTTGATTTAAGTAAACCATCTCAGCTGATGAATTTTTTGTTTTTCGCGTCTTACATTAAATATCAAATCACCGTGTTCCTTTGCCGGTCCAAGATATAATCCCAATTTATTTTATTTTCTCTGTTCGTCGACAGGGTCTTGACAAATATTTTCTGTAATGACGGGCATTATGTTTTGAGAGCCAGATTAAAAAGCCTTGTTGCTTTGTTCTGTTGTACAAATATTGATAATAACTACAGAGCGCAGTGCATTCCAGGCACGGCTACAACACGGACACTTCTGTTGCCCCGGAGGAAACAACAGAAAACGCTTCGGTCGTCTTAAAAAAACCAGCACAGATAACGTACTCGTATTGAACACTACACAAATGGTGCTCGGCATTTTTATGACGAAAAGTTGTTAAGCTCGCAATTAATACAGTATTATTACAAAGAACTTTAATTTATACTTAAAATAAAATTCTTAAGCAGCCAATGCAGAACAATCAATAGTGTTTAATTGTGGTGCGTTGTCAAAGGATAAAACACCTCTTGTGTAAACACTTGTCATTCCAGATGGCATTATAATCCTCAGAAAGACCATCAGTACTTCTTAGAGCTCCATGATTTTTGAATAACTTAACCTACAGGAACTTTAAGAAATATGACGGCCTTCTCGGAGGAAAAAAAGGGTAGAAAATGTTTTGAAACCAAAAAGTCTAAATAACTGCAAAGTAACAACAACTTTGAGATATAAAAACAACGATTTTGAATTTGACAGACATGTTTTGGCAAAAACTTACCCTCTTCAACGTAAATGTTTACAGCAGCTGCAATCTATGCTGAAATTTGCATTCCCTGTGATGTTGGCACTGAAGAACGCAAAAGTTCCTGTCGAAACACGCCTGCTGAATTCAAAATTGCTATTTTATATTTGAACCTTAGCTTCTTGAATTCCTGGCGTTATGAAACTTTGGTCGGAGTTTCTCGTTTCCTTTTGAAACAATCACGCTTGGGTAAATCAAAATGATAGTACTTAAATAAACCAGGCAACTTTTCTCAGCTGTTGGTATATTAGAAACGAAGAAATTGCGGGATGACTAACTAGCGTGTTTTACATTCCACATATATTTGAAAATAAATTACCTTTGGGACCGGAGAACGCAATATGGTAGTAAGTTCTCTGAAAAGCATCGATACCAGACCGGCATTCTTCTATGCTGCGAACCATTCCAGCTTTCACGCCATATCGCAAGTTATCCGTGTAAGTTTGAAATGTTTTGCTCACTTCTGCTAACTTCTCGATTAGAATTTCCAACCCTCGTGTGTCAGAAGGTTTGAAAAAGGGCAAGGACTTCTCTAACGATGACCCGACAGTACAGATAGGCTGCCAACAGAAAACATTTGGGCCGAGAAGAAAGTCACCGAAGTAATAGTCTCCATCGAAAGGTGTTCCAAAAACATGTTTGAGATAATGTCGCAGCTGTGCGAGAACTTTCCTTTCGCGCGATTTGAGTTTCTTCTCCTCGATAACCAGTCTGTTCAGATCTTTAAGCAGATTTTTAGCTGTATCAGTTACGTTTCTGAGATTCGACGGACTCGGATCATATACTTTATACTTTTGTTGAACTTCCAACGCACTCACTTTAGGTTTTTTTGCGATTAAAAATGGTTGTGCCTCAAACGTTTTGTCTTGCACCCATTGCAAAAACGCTACAAGACCGGCGCGTTTTGCTTCCTCCGAGTAACTGCACCTTCCTATTGTCTTCTTGCCCTGCCATTTCTGTACATTTGGAGCTTCACAACGCGAGCTATTTCGCTTGACGAGTAAGATTATTCCAGTGATCAAGCAAGAGATACCAACTAATGAAATAGCTGTTGCAAGGAAAAGGGTTTTCCTTTGTTTTTGTTTGTGGCGCATTTGAATCTCCGGTGCGAACTTCTCCATAGGTCCAGCGAATTAAAACTGCGATTGTCAGAATATATCGGAAGTCTTATACTGCAACACCTTCTGTCGGCCGAAGAGAACAGAGTTCTAACTGAATAATTTCCGCTAGATTTCGCAGTCTTTCTGTGCGATTCGTTTAAATTATCCTTTGCTTACTTAACACATTTGACCTTACACCGCTGGGCCAATCAAGTCGAATTATATTTAAAAATTTAAATAAACTGCCTTTGTTTTGGTCAGAAATCATACAAGAATAAAGAACTAAATTAACTACTTGCACGACCTGTTTTAATAACATGAGCAAAGATGTAAAAACATTTGTACAGAAAAATATAAAAATTTCAATGTAGTCGGGCTGGCTTGACCTTTTCTGTAACCTAGACGATGAACGCCAAATTTGCTACGCCAACCATTTGGCAACGAAGTCCAATAAATCAAACAAAGAACAGATCATAATGTAAATATGACAGTAGTAATTAAGGATTAGGAATTGCGTTCGTCTCGCTGAGAATGAGGGTTATAAAATTCAAGTAAAAGCCTGGACGGTATATTGGCGGTAAAGTCAACTTCTTGCCTAGCGGACACCCCGCTATTACGGACAGACGCGATATCTCCGGCTGAAACTACAAAGAAATGTGTGGAAAGAACTCCCGCTATTACGAACACCCGCT